TTTCTGCATAGACGCTCCTCAAGCTTCATCTAATGTTTTTTGTTGTTTCATCTGGTTTTGGAACAAATGTAACATAAGACTCACAGAATTGGCTGAGTAGTGTTCTCCTTTCTATTTCATCATAGTGTGAGGAGTATTAGTATTAGCTCTTCTTTAAAGGTCCAATAGAATTTTGCAGCAAATCCATCTGGTCCTGCCTTTCCTATGTCGAGAAACTATTACTGCTCCAATTTTAATTGCTTGTTTAAGTGGTTTATACAGTCTTGGCTCAATTTTGGTAGTCAGCCCTACCAAGCAACCTATCCGTTTCCTCTAGATGGTCCACTTGGCACAGATTTCGAAGTATTTTGATGATTCTTTAGATTTCACTGGCATTTGTTCTGATATTCTCGTTCATCTCTGTTTCTTCTTCTTTTGGTCAAATTAGTTATGGATTTTTTTTCTGGAAAACTTAAAAAATTCCTTGGCAAATGTAGCAGTGGACAAACAGCACAGACATGGCTGAAAATGAACTATACAATTTGTGGATTGAGTGGGTGGAGGATTGGGTGGGGGGTGGGGGGGGGGGGAAGAAGGATGGGAAGGGATGGGAAGGGGAAACAAAGGAGGCTACAATGCTTGATAAGAAATGCTTGATAAGAAACTCATTCTCTTGCCCATGTAATTGTAACCCCTCTATACAGTATTTTCACAATAAAAATAAACAAAAAAAAACAACTTGTGGATTGGGATAGAAGGGAAAAAACTGGGAGAAAGGGCAGGGGTGACACTGTCTAAAATGTAACCATAACCCCTCTGTACATCACCTAGTAACAATACAAAAGTTTAAAATTTTATTCTTAGACCTGGAACCAGCGTCTTATGCCTGAGACACTGAGATGGGAGGCTGAGATGGGAGGATCATGGTTCAAAGCCAGCCTGGGGAGTAAAGTCCATGAGACTCGTCTCACGAAGCTGTGGCTTAAGTTGTAGCTACTGTGCTACAAAAGCTGAGCACAGGGAGCTGGGAAGGTGGCTCAGTGGTAGAGCGCTTGCCTTGCATGCATGAGGCCCTGGGTTCACTTCCTCAGCACCACATAAGCAAAAAGAAAAAAGCTGGAAGTGGTGCTGTGGCTCAAGTGGTGCTAGCCTTGAGCTGAGGGGACAGCGCCCAGGCCCAGAGTTCAGGCTCCACGACCGAACCCCCCCCCAAAAAAAAAAAAAAAAAAAAAAAGCCAAGCACAAAAGCTCAGGGACTATGCCAAGTTCAAATCCCAGGGCCAGAAAAAAAAAAAAAAGTGGTTATATAAAGAAGGGATGGAGCCGGGCGCTGGTGGCTCAAGCCTGTAATCCTAGCTACTCAGGAGGCTGAGATCTGAGGATCTCGGTTCAAAGCGCCAGCCCGGGCAGGAGAGACCGTGAGACTCCTATCTCCAATAAACCACCAGAAAACCGGAAGTGGTGCTGTAGCTCAAGTGGTAGAGCGCTGGCCTTGAGCTGAAGAGCTGAGGGACAATGCCCAGGCCCAGAGTTCAAGCCCCACAACCGACAAAAAAATAAAGAAAGAAGGGATGGGAAAGCCGGGCACCGGTGGCTCACGCCTGTAATCCTAGCTATTCAGGAGGCTAAGACCTGAGGATCATGGTTCAAAGCAGGAATCTCCAATAAACCACTAGAAAACCTGAAGTGGTGCTGTGGCTCAAGCGGCAGAGCGCTTTCGTTGACCTTAAGAGCGCAGGGACAGCGCCCAGGCCCAGAGCTCAAGCCCCACGACCGACAAAAAAAAAAAAAAAAAAAGGCTGAGAATGTGGTAGTACTTCCCTAACATATGTAGCCCTGGTTCAATTCCTTAGCACTATATAAACAGAAAAGGCTGGAAGTGGCACTATGACTCAACTGGTAGAGTGCTAGCCTTAAGCAAAAGCAGCTCAGGAGCAGTGCCCAGGCCTTGAGTTCAAGCCCCAAGACTGGCACACAAAAAAGTTTCAATTTTACTGGTTATCAAGATAGAATGTTGACAACTTTTCTTCCCAAGCTGATCCTTCTGTTGTTTCCTGGGTAGCTAGACTTTAGGAATAAAGCAGACACCCCAAACCTCATTTATCTTTGATAAAAGTCTCCATTTTATTCATCTCTAATCTAGTATTTCTTTCCATCTTCTATTTTTTAAAGCTTGAGGTGCATCATTGGGCCGAGAGCTATTCTTTATGTAGAAACTCACAGAAACTTTTCATGCTGCTTTTGTTCTACCCCCAAGTTTCTGGTAGGTTTTTCATTTTCATTAGATTCCAGGAACTTTTTGATTTCTCCCTTTATGAATTCAGTGACTCACTTATAATTCCACAGTGTGTGCTTCAGTCTCCGTGTCTGCATCTTTTCTGTAGCATCTTGTTGTTGAGTTCCAGCTTAGTTCCATTATGTAGGGTCTGATAGAATACAGGGAGTTATTTCAGTGTTTTTGTGTTTGTGAAGAACTGCTCTGTATTCTGAAGTATTTTGGAGAAAAGTCCATGGGCTACTGAGATGAATGTGTCTTGTGCAGCTGTTGAATTAAACAGCCAGGTCCATGCAGTCTGTGGTGTCATTCAGTTCTGAGATATGTTTGGATGGCCTAGCCCTTGGGGAGTAGTTTGTAAACTCTTCTCTACAGTGACCCCTTTATAAACATCTCATCAGCACTCTGCTCTTGTGCAGACTCGAATGCCCAACAAATAAATATTGGACAGAATCTTCACTCTTTTTCTTCAGTGCTGGGGATCAAACTCAGGACCTTTTTAGATGCTAGGGAAAAGGTCATACCCCTTCCACAGCACTAGCTCCTCCCCTCCCCCTCCCCCAATATTGGGTTTTAGTATGATTAAGTATTAGTATGTTATACAGAAACCCATTCTTTTGTCTCTAAGTAGTACAATGTATCTCCTAACCTGCTGATGAGCAGGTCTGGTTAACTTACTGAGGATAATCTGTAGTTCTGTGTCCTCAGAAGCTGCTGGCTAACCCAGCCATAAACTAGGGGCCCATACTGGGAATGGATCAAGCAATACAGTCACTCAGTGCAGTGATGTTTGTCATCAAAGACAGGGAGCATTTCATCCCTGTGTGACTAGACAGCTAAAGCAATGCAAGATACAGAACCAATGCAGAGCTCACATTAATCCTAAGGAAACTGGGTGAAATGACCTCATCATGGACAAGCTTGTCCTGGTTTTAAATTGGAGATGGCCAGAAGGACCTTAGGCATGAAGTTACAATGTCTGGAGAGAGCAGCCAATGACTGCCAGGACAGGTCTTGAGTACGGCCAGACAGGACAGGGTAGAGATTGGGTGGCACAGAGGAAGCAATGAATCACAAGACACTCTTGATGTCCCCCCTGCACAGGGCAGGTTGACCACAGTATCTACGCTCTCAGCTGACTCCATACAATACAAGAGGAAGTGCCAACCCTGCTCACAGATGCTACTCAGGAATGGCAGAACCTAGAACCAGAGAAATTGAAGTGAAGGGTAAGATCTGAGAGCCTGGAAGAGCCAGTCACATGCAGAGGAGGGGCTGGAGCAGCTTGGGTCCAGATTGCAAGTCTGAGGCTTGCCCAGGTTAGGATTCTGATCTTTAGATCAGACCGAGCTTCAGCATCCTTGGCCTGAGGACTCCCCTCTCCCATCCATACCCCGTCTTCTGCCCCAACAGGCTTTTGGAGCTCAGCGCACACCAACACCCAGGTACCTTCTAGGTCTCTGTTTTCATGCTGCTGTTTTTAAAGCCCTGTTTCTCCCCAGATTCCAATCCCCATGCCAGAAAAGGCCAGCCTCGCCATTTTGGTCCCTCAGCACATGTACCTGCCAGCTGCTTGCCTGCTCAAGGGGCAATGACCATGTCATTTCCCTCACTTGACTGTCACCCGCCACCTCCACGCAAGACAGAGGCTGCCCAGGGAGGACATAAGCAGCATTATAGCATGGGGTTCAGACCCTGCCCTCTCTGTGTTGCTCAATGGCCTTGCCTACAACAAGGAAAGGCCACTAGCAATATCAAGTGTGACCACAGTGTGATCGCTCACCCTGGTCCACCTGCAGAACAGAAGATGCAGTCTGAGAGGGAGCCAACCTGCACCTTGTCAAGATGAAAGGCTAACAGAACTGGAAATCCCACCTTGGATGTAAGTACCCACACCAGCCTCAAGTCTGCCTTCCAGACAGACAAGCCAGCACACACAGTTCTCATTCTCTTGGAAGTGATCAAAGAAATGGTCTCTGCGCAGGAGTGAGTCAGAGGAGCTCAGCTTCGGCCCCTCATCTCACTGTTTCCAGGTAGGCAGGAGGGTCTGCACAGAACATATTTGTGATGAACAATGACTACTGGTGCACTGGGAGGGGGGGAGTTGTTGGATAGTCATCCAGTCACCCTCCAGCTCTCCCTAAGTGCTTTCATTTTTTCATGGCATCACTTTTAGATACTTTACCCGGCACAGATTTACCTCAACATGCCTTAATACATTTCGAATCCACTTTTCACTTGAGATGGCACATCTCTCAATGTACTTTACCAGATATTTCACTGACTTTTAATTTTGTGCATTCTACCTGTTGAAGGTAAAACAAACAGTGGCATCTTAACATTCGTACAACAAGGACTGCGGCCCTGGTGTGCTTTTTCTCCAACTCTAGCACATGCTCCCATCCAGGACTCAGACCCTAAGCTTCTTCAGTGATAAGCTAAGGCACAGAAAAGCACACTACCCTACCTGAGGCCACACAGCATGAAGGTGACATGCCTAGGTCCCTGTCTCTTACCTACTTTAAGGCTCAGCAGGAACCCAGGGTCCCCAGATACTGAAGTACCCAGACCCGTCCTGGGTACTACACTAACAGCTACTCATGGTCCCAAGTGTAATCCCACCAAACAGGGACTAGTGTCACCCATGTATAAATCAGGAAACTGAGGCATGGCAGGGCCCTTTCCTGTCACCACTGCTGGCGACACTCACAGGGCACAGTCCCACAGCTAGCTGGGCTGCTCTTAGTAGCAGGGACTCGAAAACTTTATTTCTCCTCTGAAACATGAAGAAACTGAACAATAGGTCAATCAAACACTTTGCACAGAAACCCACCTCTGTGGTGGTCCATCCGAAAAGTCAGTCTGTGCGCTACAGAGCCTGGTCTTGCCCCTAGCCCCCCCTGCCAAGGGCAGCACGGGGACAGGCCTCCAAAGGCAGGGCACCCAGGGGTCTGAACACACCACGCCACAACAGCAATCCGCCCAAAGCCCATTTCTCAAGATGCAGCGGGGGAGTGGGCAGTGTCTCGGGACAGGGCAGGACCTGCTGGCTGGCCCTCCAGGGCAGAGCGCAGTGAAGATGGAGGACGGCAGCAGCAGGGAAGCAGTGGAGGTGGGGAGGCAGTGGGTGCGGGGACACTCCGGCCGGAGGAGGGACGGGAGCTCACTTGAGGCGGTAGAGCACTTTGCGCTGCATGCGGTGCTGGACCTCCCCGCGGCGCAGCATGAGCTGCAGCACCTTGTAGATGGCGTGCTCCGGGTACTTCTGCAGGGAGACAGGTGCCTGTGAGCATGTCTGTACCCAGGCCCCCCTCCCCCGGGCTCCAGGGGACTTCACAGCCTATGGAAAGCTTCTACCTGTAGGCATCAGAACACTGGAGCCGCTGCTGTGTGCACAGCATTTACTGTCTCCATGTACATGAGCCAACTATTCCATGTGGCCGGTACTAGAACATTCCCATTTTATAGAGGCAGAGGAGCTAAGCCACTTGAAGTTACTAGCAAATAAGTGCTGAGATGTAAGTCTTTGTGACTACAAGACTCACTCTTTTGTCAACTCTCAGCCTCACTAAGCCTCTGCTCATCCACAACTGCTATATTAATGTTCCCAAGGCCCAAGAGAGAAGATGCGTGGGGAGGTGGGCTCTTTGTCCCTGTGTTCTTAAATGCAACAGGTACACATGAGCTGTACAGGGTGAGGGACTAGTGGGAGGGAGGAAAGGAGGGCAAATGGAGAGGGTGAAGAAGGTGAATATGGCCAAGGTATTTTATGTCCAAGTGTGAAAATGGAATGAATGAAGCTTATTGACAATGGGGAAGGGTGAGAGAGATGAATCTGATTTAACGTAATACATGCACATATGGGTATCTCAAAACCCCATATACAACTGACGCTAATAAGACGTGTGGGAGGAATGTCAGAATAAATGACTCCAAGAATGATGATGTGTGCTGGCGTTGGGGCTTAAACTCAGGGCCTCAACTCACTTAGCTTTTTCCCCTCAAAGCTGGCAGTCTACCACCTGAGCCACACCTTTACCTATGACTTTTTGCAGGTTAATTGAAGATAATCTCAGAGATCCAGATCGTGGCTTCAAACCACGATCCTCAGGTCTCAGCTTCCTGAGCAGCTAGGATTAAAGGCAGGGGCCAGTAGCACTCAACTAACTAGATTCTTCTTACCCATAGACACAGATTACTAAAAATAAAAGCATAGACAAAGGTGACAGGCTCCCAAGTATCTAGAAAGCCCCATGTCCTCCAGGGGCTCACTGGGGCTCAGGTTACTGAGTACAACTTGCCACACCGTATGCAGCCAACAGAAAGGATGAAAGAGAGACTGGAAACCCAGATGTGACCCTCCCAAGCCTAGCCACCCTTCTCTGTTGTACAACGTAAAAACTCCCCTTGTCCTGACTGAGACTGTCCCTAGAGAGGGAAAGATGGCTGAACAGGGCAGGACAAGACAGGACAAAGAACAGCTCTCCGTCCCCCAACTAGGGCCTATGGGCTGAGCAAAGGGACACTAGTGCTGGGTGGAACCAGCCTGTCCAGAGTAACTTGCAGGACCCCACATCCCGTGCTGGGGGAAGGCCTACCTGCTTGGTGAAGTCCTGAATGATGCTGTGCTCCGACACTTGAGAGCCAATGGCGAAGCGGCGCTTGAGCTGCTTCTCAATGCGGCTTAGCATCTCCTGGTCCTCTTGGCTGGTGAAGCCCTCCACTCCTGTGAGAAGTCAGATGGTGAAGATCAGGGCACTGGGGACCCCAGTTTGTCCATTCTAGGCTAGACACAGAAACCTCTAACCCAAGACAACTTGCCTGAGCTAGACCTGGGAGGTAGCTACAGAAAGAATAGTATGGCATGCTCAGGGACAGTGAAAACCTGCTCAGGAAGAGCCATGATAAGGCAAACATGGAGAATAACATCCTAGGCAGCACAGCGCGTGCAAAGTCAGAGGCAGCAATGCACCTGATTCATTCAGGTCAAGGCTAGGGTGGAGGGACATGGCCAGGGTGGTAACTAGAAGCCAGGTGCCATAAGCCCCTGGGGACCAAGTGAGAGGCTGGCTTTGATTCTGGCAAAAGAAGCCACTGGAGGCTCTGCAGGAAACAATGAATTGCTTTGGCTGACAACTGCTAACAAGCACGAAGTCACTCGAGCTCTAATACTGGACAAGATCCTGGGGTTGATCTGAGCCAGAAAGCGAGGTGGGAGCCAGGAGGGAAGACAGGCCATCCCAAGAGCCACACCTGGGTGGTACCCCAGAAAGCCCTAGAACGTAGGGGCTTATTTCCAACTTTTTTTTTTTGGTCAGTCCTGGGGCTTGAACTCTGGGTCTGGGCACTGTTCCTCAGCTCTTCAGCTCAAGGCGAGCGCTCTATCACTTGAGCCACAGCATCATTTCCAGTTTTCTGGTGGTTAAGTGGAGATAAAAGAGTCTCATGGACTTTTCCTACCCACGATCCTCAGATCTCAGCTTCTTAGTAGCTAGGATTACAGGTATAAGCCATGGGCGCCCGGCTTTATTTCCAACTTTTACTGTAGGTGAGCATCCCTGTTGCCCAAGCCTGCTGCCTCCTGGGTATGTGACACAACAAAATCCCTCCCGGGGGGCAGGCACGCCCCTTAGGGAGCCACTACCACCCCTGGAAAGTAGCATCTCTCCCCACCAAATACACCTGGCCCTGCCACTGCCCCTTTTACCACATGGACTGAGTATCTGTCCTCATAGTCTGTCTCTCCTTGGCAAGCAAGAGGAGAGGCCAGGATTTGCTCTGTTATCTCTAATACCTAGATGGTGCCTGGCAAGCAGGAAGCTCAAAGCATTGGCTAAGTAAGAAATCTCTTTCACAGGACAATCCAGCAAATCACCAGTGCTTGGAAAAGTCTGCTGAAAGGTTAGGCAGAAACAGGCAATGTGAGTTCAGGGTAAGGGACCCGGAGCCTGGATTCCTGCTAAGACTGGAGGTTCTATGTGCTACCAAAAAGGCTCTGTAAACATCGATCTTTCTGATCTCTTAAGAAGGGGAAAGATGACTAGGGAGTGGCTGTCAAGACCACGCCAGGAGAAGCACTGATTGACATGGTTCAGAGCTCGGCACACAAGATGCTGATTGATGGACTGCTATTCCTCAGCAATGACAGGTCACAATACTGTGAACAAACTGGCTTAAGAGGATGGCATTCAAGGGTCTAGAGAGAAGCTGATTCCTCCTATTTTGAGGGGGAAATAGCTACAGGAGACATGAGGGAAGATTTACTGTAGAAGATGCCCAGGAAAGCTCAGCACATACCGAGAAGCAGCACCCTGCCCTCTGACCCCAAGACTGTGGCCCAGCACCTACTCACCTGACAGGGTACCAGATAAAGCAGCATCTAACGTGGACACCTGGAAAAGCCTCAGGGCCTCCTCCACGTCTGCCTCGGTGGCAAAGGGCTGCAGCTTCATCTTGCTCAGGGCCTCAGAGATGCGCACTATGGCCTCTAATTGCCTATAAGAGAAGTGGGGCGCTCAGGGGACTTCACCCAACTTCTCCCCTGGACACAGAGAGGTGCCCAAAGGAGGCAAAGCCTATAGCGGAAATGCCAGCTGTCCCTTCACCCATCACATGCTCCTCAAGAGCTGGCCCTGCACCCCTGGGCCTCTGCTCTGTGGCTGCCTCCTACATCTCCCTCAGTGGAGCGAGGCCCGGCTTCCTGCTCACCGCACAGTGATGGGGATGCTGGAGCGGCGGTCGCTGTCCCTCTCATGCTGACGGGCCCCGCTCCGCATGATGATGTAACGGTTCTTCAGCTTCTCTGCAGCTTCCGCCGACAGCCGGGGGCCACACCTCCTGCAGGATGGATAGGGAGCAGCAAGTGTGAGACCAAGAGGAAATTTCTCAGGGCTCACTCTGCCCTATACCCTCCCACTGGCTTTCCCACCACAACATTGCTGCTTGCTAACGGGGATGACAAGCCATTTTGGAGATTCAAGTGAAACCTGCCTGGCTGGCTGTGGTGGGCAGGTGCCACAGAAATCAGTAACAGGTGGGAAAAAGTCAGGCACAGGTGCAGCAGTAATTATACCTCCAACTAAAGAGTACTGTCAACACTGCCTCCATCAGCCACTAGGGGAGCAGCAGGCGTCCACTAGCTGGCGGGCTTCCTGAAAGTCTGCTCCTCCACAGCACACATCTGACTCTATTTCCAATTAACCACCAATAAGCTGAATATGGAGCTGTGGCTCAAGTGGTAGAGCACTAGGCAAAAGCTTAGGGTCAGTGCCCAGTCCATGAGTTCAAGCCCCAAGACTGGAATAAAAAAAAAAATGCGAGCCAGGCTCCAGTAGCTCACATGTGTAATCCTAGCTACTCAGGAGGCTAAGCAGTAGGGTTCAAAGCCAGCCCAGGCAGGGAAGTCCATGAGACTCATATCTCCAATTAACCACTAGAAAACCAAAGTGGCACTGTGGATCAAAGTGGTAGAGCGCTAGCCTTGAGGAGCCCTGAGTTCAATCCCCAGGACTGGCATTAAAAAAAGATTACAGAGATTGAGTGTGGGGATCCATGCCTATAATCTCAACATTCAGGAGGCTAAGAAAGGAGGATCCTTAAATTCCAGGCTACGAAGTCACCGCTTCACCAAAGCAAAAGGGAAAATAAACCTTAGGAAACATAACCTAGGAAATGGAAGCTCAGAAGGGTTGAGCAGCTGGGCGCCAGTGGCTCACGCCTATAATCCTACTCAGGAGGCTAAGATCTGAGGATCGTGGTTCAAAGCCATCCCAGGCAGGAAAGTCGTGAGACTCTCATCTCCAATTAACCACTAGAAAACTACAAGTGGTGCTGTGGCTCTAAGTGGTAGAGCGCTCACCTTGAGCTGAAGGGTTGAACAGTGCCCAGACCCAGAGTTCAAGCCCCTTGACCGACAAAAAAAAAAGGGTTGAGCAACTTACCAGGGTATGCTACGGTATGGGTGGGATTGCATCTACAATGACCTGCCCACATGGTAAAATGTGAGGGAGCTTCACATTAAACTCTATCCACCTAACTGAAGATGGAGAGACTAAGGCCAAGCGCCAGTGGGATCTGTTCACGGTCAGAGAGAACAAGAGCAGAGCAGATGCCTCAGAACCAAATCCTCAGAGGGGCACTGTTAGGATATTCTGCACAAGAAGGTCCAAGCCCGGTAACTAGGCTCTCTCCCCACTCAGGAAGCCAGGCAACCTCACCCCACAGGGCCTGTGTCGGCACTCACGCTCGGCAGTAGGCGATGAACTTCTTCAGCTTGGCCAGGTCGATCTCGCCTTCCACAGCCTGGGTCTGTGTCAGAGCACTCACATGCAGAGTGATCACATGTTTGGCCAGCATCTAAGAGGCAAAAGGAGACACTCATCAGCCCACAGGCCCTCCTGAGCTTTATACCCCTCACAGAGGAGGGGCAGGCTGGAAGAGCTGACTGGGCCCCAATCGCAGCCAGAAGGGCCATTTCTATCTCAGGCCCACACTGCCAGCCAGCCTGGCCCCACTCTCCCAGAGCATTGCCCCCACCCACCTGGGACACAAGTCTGCTTTTCAGATGGATAGTGGATCTACTCAAGCCAGTGACAGTTCATTCTAGGGCTTCTGCTGGAATTACTGGCGCCTCCACTCAACAGAGGAGTAGTAAAGCTATCAGATGGTAAGACAAAAATCATAGTTTTGTCTTTACCACAGGAGTAGTGGCCCAAGGGATTAAGCCTCCACTAAAGGGAGCAAAGGGAGGCAGAAACAAGAGCTGTCCAACAACCTAGAGGCGTGCATTCAATCTCTGGACTTGTTGATTCTTTGAGTGATGAGATTTCTTTCAAAGTTTTACTATCAGCTCAAAGGTACTTTGCCTAACACGTGTGAAGCTCTGGGGGAAAATTTACCAACCACAACTGGGGTTCTCCTGCTTGTACTTTCTGTTCATATGTAAAGGACTGAGGTCCAGAGAGAGAGTCAGCCACGGATCACCCAGACCCTCAGTGGCAAAGACTGGCCAGGCCACAGGACTCCAGCTCCCTCTCCAACACTGCAGGTGGTGGCTATGTAACCATCAGGAATGGCCAAGTGCCCTGCTCACCTTCCCCCAGGACCATGAGCCTGTCTGGAGCGGGGCTCTGTGGTCACCAGGCCTGCTGTAAACATACCACATCCCTCTCCTCATTGTGCTCATCCTTGACAATGAAGATCATGTCGAAGCGGGACAAGATGGTCGGCATGAAATCAATGTTGTCCTCCCCCTTCGTCTCATCCCAGCGGCCAAACACTGAGTTGGCAGCAGCCAAGACAGAGCAACGTGAATTCAGGGTGGTGGTGATCCCAGCCTGAGGGGACAGAGGGTGGGAGATGACAAAGAACCCTGGGATACTCACTGACTCTCTTTCCTTCCCTTTCCCTCCCACTTTCTTCTTCTCTCTTTCCTTCCATCCCTTCTCTCCTAGGCCTACTGCTGCTGCTGCCAGCACAGCCCTAGTCCAACAGGACTCAGCAAAACTGCCCAGAGCAGCTTGTGGAGAGTTATCCATGCTGGGACACAGCAGGGTAGGCTCCCAGGAAGGGTCGCTCACCTTGGCTATAGAGATGGTCTGCTGTTCCATGGCTTCGTGGATGGCTACACGGTCATCTTCTCGCATCTGCGTTGGGGACAGAGAGGTCCATCAGACCCCCACCCCAAGCAAGAGACAGTGGCAGCAGAAAAACAAGCTGCAGCTACCATTCCCAAGTACAAAGAAAGATACTGAGTCACCCATAATCATGGTGACCTACATACGCATGGCTTTCCTCTTCCCAGTCTCCAGATAAACTGAGGCTCAGAGGAACAAAGCAATTCTCACAGTAACCACAGAGCAACTGACCCAAGGACAGAACATCAGTCTTCCAAACCTGTGGTAGTGTCTGCCAGCCCCACCTGCAGTCACACAGCCTGGTCCTGACTGTGAGGCCCAGACTCACCTTGTCAAACTCATCGATACAGACGACCCCACCATCAGCCAGGACCATGGCGCCTCCCTCCATGATGAAGTTCCGGGATGAGGGGTCTCTCATTACCGAGGCGGTCAGGCCAGCAGCACTGCTACCTTTCCCAGATGTGTACACCTGAGAGAGGAATGACAGGGAAGGTGTCAGTGCCCAAAGCTTTCTCCAGACCAAGCTGACCCCAGTAAGTCAGAGGGTGTGCAGAAGCTCCAAGTCACACATCTGATTATAGAGCACAGAACAGAAATCAAGACTTAATTGAGGGCTCTTTGCGCTGGAAGGGGAGGCCACCCTAGATGCTGTACCCTAGACGAAACATGGCTTACCAGAGCCTCATCACAGTCTTGTAGGTGAGCACTGAGACATAAAGGAATGGTCACTTGGAACTGGCCTCGGAGCTGGGATGGGACTTCATTATTACCTATAATCTTACATTCTACATGTTGCCACTGAGACCTCAATTTGTGCTAAAGTCCTAGCTGAGATGCCCTTAAGAGCAAAACACAAGCTGGGCACAATGGCTCACGGCCATATTAGCTACTCAGGAAGCTGAGATCTGAGGATCAAGGTGCCAAGCCAGTATAGGAAGAAAAGCCCATGAGAAATCCAAGGATGGTGGCTCATGCCTCTAATCCTAGCTACTCAGGAGGCTGAGATCTGAGGATCGAGATTCAAAGCCAGCCTGGGCAGGAAAAGTCCATAAGACTCTTAAACCACCAGAAAACCTGAAGTGGCGCTGTGGCTCAAGTGATAGAGGGCTCGCCTTGAGCTGAAGAGCTCAGGGACAGTGTCCAGTTCAAGACCCATGTCCGACAAAAAAATAAAAAAAGCCCATGAGACTCTCCGGTTAACAACAAAAGGCCAAAAGTGTAGCTCTGGTTGAAGTGGAAGAGCACTAGCCTTAAGCAAAAAAAGCTCAGGATAGGCCATGAGTTCAAGCCCCAGGACTGACACACACCCACAGACATACACACACAAAAGAGAACACACAGCCGGGCACCGGTGGCTCACAACTGTAATCCTAGCTACTCAAGAGGCTGAGATCTGAAGATCATGGTTCAAAGCCAGCCTGGGCAGGAAAGTCGGTGAAACTTTTTTTTTTTTTTGGGGGGGGGGGTCCAGTCATGGGGCTTGAACTCTGGGCCTGGGCACTGTCCCTCAGCTCTTCAGCTCAAGGCTAGCGCTCTACCACTTGAGCCACAGCGATACTTCCAGCTTTTTTTCTTTTTGCTTATGTGGTACTGAGGAATTGAACCCAGGGCCTCAGGCTTGCAAGGCAAGCACTCTACCACTGAGCCACCTTCCCAGCCCATGAAACTCTTATCTCAAATAAATACTCAGAAAATCAGAAGTGGCACTGTAGCTCAAGTAGTAGAGGGCTCGCCTTGAGCTGAAGAGCTGAGGGACAGTACTCATGCCCTGAGTTCAAGCCCCACGACCAACAACAACAACAAAAAGAGAACACACGGAGATCATGGGGCTTCTACTAGAAGATGTAACTTGACAACACGGCTCATATTTGCAGGTCACAGGAATTCTAGAAGACAGTGCCAGTATGAACAACTTGATATACTGCCTCTATCCAAAAACAACCTCCTGCTATACAGTCATAACCCACTAACCACAGTAGTCAGAAGCCCTTCCCTGTTGATCCTCCCAGACACCCCACTGTGCAGCAGGGACCCCTGCTCATCAACAGCAGGACTTTAGGTGAGACACTGTGCACTGCTGTACCTGTGTCTTCTTACGTACAGCACAGTGCTGAGGTTGGATGAGTAAATTCCCATCAAACGTAGTGTCTGGCCATTGATTGTAGCTAGTATCATTCTAAGTATCACCCTTGCAACAACTGAGGCTCAGGAACACCAGGTGACTGTTCCAAGCCCACTGCCGATCAATGGCAAGGCTGAGACCTGAAGTGAGCCGGACTCAGACCAGTGCTCTCGCATGTCCCAAGTCTACGCATGCCTACTGGTTCCTCCTCACTACAGAACCTGACCACAGCCAAGAGGAAGGAGATGGTGCTGGGTGTGTCCGGCCACGGGTATCCTAGGGACCCAGAAGCTCTGCCTTCTTTCTTGCTGCAACAGGCAAGGCAAGATTGTCCCCAGTACTTACTCCAATGGGAGAGCACTTCTCCACAAACTTCAAAAGCTGCGACTTAGCTGTCCCAGGGTCCCCCAGCATCAGCAAGTTGATGTCCCCACGGCGAGTGAGTCCATCAGGGAGCCTGGGGAGAAGGGGCAGGGGAGCAAGGTAGAGTTCAAATGGCAAGCCAGCAGTCACCCCATCTCTAATGAGCCTCAGATCAAATGGGAAGGCAGCCCAATCCCACGTTCACACCCATGCCTGGGATTCTGTGGCAGGCTCTGGCTAGCAACGGAAGATAGAGCTTCCTTCCAGGGAGGGAGGATGAGGACTGGCAAGCAGAGCTGCCCTCAGGCACAGCTGCCATCTGATAAACACCCCTCCCAGAAGAAAAAGGAAGCCATCTGTGGGCTGGGCACATGCCGAGGACCAATGCCACAGGGCAGCCTCCTGGCTCCACCCATGTGGCTAGGAGCAAATCCCTTCCCCTCCCCATTTCCTCATCTACAAAGGCAACATCTTTGGGCTGGGGATTGAGTCTTCATCAAGATTTAGAATAACGTCAGGACTACAGTTAAGAGTATTATTATCGCTATTGTTTATATACTATTTTAGAGTTCCAAAAGAATACTGATGGCCTTTTTAAAATTTTTTCTTAATTTTTTACAAGTAAGCTCTTGCTCTGTAGTCCACATGAGCCTCAAACTCTTGATCCTTCTGATCACTTTTTTTTTTTTTAATTTATTTTTGGTCATGGGGCCTGGGCACTGTCCCTCAGCTCTTCAGCTCAAGGCTAGTGCTCTACCACTTGAGCCACAGCGCCACTTTCGGCTTTTTCTGCTTATGTGGTGCTTAGGAATCGAAGCCAGAGCCTTATGCATGCAAGGCAAGGACTTCACCGCTGAGCCACCTTCCCAGCCTGATCACTGTCTTTTAAGTGTAGGTTTTTCCATCTGTTTCACTCATGTGAAAGAAAACTTTTAAGTTCAGAAAGATGGGGTTGGGATCCCATCTGAGAACATACAGTAACTAGAACAGAGAATAAATCTTTGGTCCCAAGATTCAAAGCTCAAAGCCCAGTCCTCTTTCACGGCCTACCCAGAGCCAGAATGGCCAAGGACCTCTGCTACAGGTGGGAGGGTAAGCAGCTGCCTGCAAGCCAGGGGGTAGGCAGCAGACTGATGGTCCAGCAGAATGCGGAGAGAACAGAACCCTGTTTACCTGGCAGCTGTCCTCCTGTGGACTATGTCATCATTCCCCCATTATCCCCCCACTCCTACCTCCCCGTCCCCACAGCCACTCACCTCTTTCGGGAGCCTCCAAAGAGCAGGCAGGCAATGGCCTTCTTCATGTCCATGCCCCCAAAGATAGAGGGGGCAATGCTCTTGGAGATGACCTCGTATACATTGGGGAGGGCAGCCAGGCGACGGAACTCCTCCTCCTCCTGCGGGCTCACAGTTCCCGCAAAGCTGCGGCCTAGGGTGGGGAGGGCAGGCGCCTGAGTGATTATAGGGATACCACCTCCATCCAGCCACTTCCCAGCCTGGCCACAGGGAGGCCCTTCTGGGCAAGGCAAGCCAGGAGGCTAAAGCAATCCCACATTTCCACAATCTCAAGAGAGCCTGGCCTCTTCTAGGTCCAGTAAGTAGGGAAGGTCTGAGCAATCAAAGGCAAAATCATGCTGGCCCATGAGAACCATTTGGTCAAGAGCGGGGAGAGACACTTCCATCAAGGAGTTATGTCTTTGGTCACGTTACCACTCACAGGGGAAGTCAGAGGAAACAGGGAGGATCTACAACCAGGCAGGCACAGGTTCAGATGAGGGTTGGGATGTGAAAAGCAGCCAGAACCTAGATACAGTGAGTAAAAGGGGGAAATCAGAGGAGGTGGGAAGATGAGAGAAACAACCATAGAGGATCTGGTGGGGGTACGGGAGTTGCTGAGCAGCTAGAAGAGAGGAAGTAAATGTGGAAAGAGAACCAATGGATGGATAGGGAAAGATAGGTCTGACTATGTTCTCTTCAAGATCTAAGTGGACACAGCCTATCAACAGCTAAATAAACAAGCTTTTACATACACTAGATCATGGACAAAGTCTGGAAAAGCCTCCCTGTTAGACTGGTCAGATTTAGCAGCCAGAGACTATAATCACCTAAGATTTCTCACCGTGGTTCCTGCTGCCCTGGGTTCAGGCATGAGCTCTCTACACCAGCTGGGAACACAGGACTTTTACAAGGCCCAGCCATTCATTCATTGTCCAAACCCCTACCAGTACCTGGGGCCAGACCAGCGTCTTCAGATCCTATCATTCTCTCCACAACTCTAACCTTCAAAGGCAATTTGTAGACTCCTCTTGGAAAAAGCCTTCACACAAGGCCCAGCCCACCCTTGCTTCCTGAGGTCCTCAGCCTCTCACTGGAATTCCACAGCATCATTTCTCCTCAGTTGGACTCTAAGCACATATCTATCTATCCTGAAGCCTGCATTCTTGTCTGACTCCTGGTACAGGGCTGAGATGTACACAGCACTCCCAGTGGATCATGATAACTCTCCACGGACTACACTGAGCCCTTCAGCCTTGAGCCTCTAGGTCTCTTGAGCTTGCATTTAGGCAAACGCCCTCAGTGCAGGAACCACAGCTGGGGACATGGCCAAGACCAAGAGGGGCATTTGCTCATTATAAAAAGGAACATTCTAGCTGGATACCGGTGACTCATGCCTGCAATTCTAGGTAGTCAGCACAGAGGTTCAAAGCCAGCCCATTTAACCAGCAAAAAGCCCAACTACAGGCATGGTTCAAGTGGTAGAATGTGAGGTCTGAGCAAGAATGCTGAACAAGAATGCCAAGCTGAATTCAATCCCTAATACCAGCACAAAAATTAAACTGATGTAATCAGCAACCAGAGGTTGATGGTAATGAGGTGCCTGTTAAGGGAGGTGTACAAGCTTGCCAAGTGGCAAGGCCAAGCCAACTTACCAGAGCCATCTGTGTCCACCTGGATGCCCAAGACACGGATGTAGGAGCTCCGGATGCCCACACCCACCCTGTCACGACCCCTACTGGATTTCAGGCCAAACTTCTTGATGGAGTAGATGCCCATGATGGTGACCCTATTCCCGGGAACAACTTTGTCACACAGGTACCTATGAGGGGAGGAGAAAGAGAAGAGGATGAGGTCCTGGGGCAGTGATTCCCTGGACCACCACTCCTACTGACTCACTGCCAGCTTAACATTTCCCCCAAGCATCATAGCCAGGGCTAGCTCCACTCCTACAGGGCATAAAGAACCCTCTCCCTTTCCCAACCCCCTCAAGCCTGGGTGGCTGAGATGTTTGGAGCAAGGCATTGACAATGGCAGGGTCCTAACTCTCATGTGCGGGTTGAAGTCTCCAGAGGCTTTGTAACCCAGCTGCAATATGTCGGATACCGCACATTCATCTCAGGCCTTCAGCCATCTTAGAGGAAGACTTTTTCCTCCTGCCCTCCCACCATCCTAGCTAGGACCACGCCGTTTTCTGTCTCTGCATGATCCCATTTCAGCTCAGCCAAGTCAATCTGCCTCTGGGTTTTCATTTCCTCTTGAAAACTACACTGAAAGAGGGAAGTCTCCAAGCTCCTCTAGAGCCAACAAAGCACAGATGGGGCAAAGGGCAACTGTGTGACATCAACGAAGCCACTGAACCTTTCTGGGCCTGAGGAGAAGGTAAGGTGACCTGTCTCAACTGTTGTAGACTCAAGCAAGGCATAGGAACAAGGCCCAGTTCCTCTGCTTAGAAAGTCATTTAAAAGCCTGAAATCCTAGCTGCTCTGGAGATCTGAGAACTGCCAGCTCAGGCTTACGGTAGGTCTGTGGGACTATCTCCAATTATCTATCCAAAGAGCCAGAAATAGAGCTGTGGCTCAAGTAGTAGAGTGCTAGCCTTGAGCAAAAAAAGCTCAGGAACAGCACCCAGGCCCTTAGTTCAGACCCTCAGACCAGCATCAAAAAAGTCACTTAACCATCTCACACTTCCACACCCACAATACGGTGCTATGAAGTGCCCTGCAGGTGATCAGAAGCACCAGGCACAAATGAATCACCCTCTCCTCTACACCCTGCACACTCCAGACCCAGCCCACACCCAGCATGCACATTAGGGACGCAGCAGGATGCACCCATCTTTCGGTCCCTCCCACCTACCTGTCACAGTAGAGCTGCATGTGTCTGGGCATCTCGCCGTGGGGCACAGCATCAGGCAGCTCCTGCAGCTTTAGGGTCTGGAAGTCCACACACTTGCACTTGTCGGGCATGATGAAGTATGGGTCCAATGGGCACTTGGGGCGCCCAGCCTGATCCCTGTGAGAGGAGTAGTGGTCACCAGAGCTACCAGGAGAATCTAAAGGCTGGAGCTCATCCATTGAGTCAGGAACAAGATGTGGCCAACAGCAATTTAAGGTGGAACTAGGACCAGCTAGGGAAAGGCCTCAAAAGGAAGCCAGCTCCATGGCAACAGGAGTGCCACTGGAGGCTGGGAGGACTGAGAGGCCCAGCTCCTCCACTGGCATGCTGGGAGGTGGCAGACAAGTCCCATGCACAGTCTGGGTCCTCACAGGTTAAGAGCAGCTAAACCAACTGGGTTCTGCCGTCTCACATCTGTGATCCTAGCTATTCAGGAATATGAACTGTAATCGGAGGATCATAGTTCAAAGCCAGCCCTGTAAGAATGTCTGTGTAACTTTCATCTCCAGTAATCACTAAAAAGTTGGAACAGGAGCTGTGGCTTGAGTGGTAGAGTGTCAGCTTTGAGTGAAAAAGCTAAGGGACAGTCCAAGTCCTGAGTTTAAGCCCTAGAACGATGCACATACATACACACACACACACACACACATGTGCGAGTGTGCATGTGTACGCTGCTAGATTCTCAAGCCCTCTACTAAATAAATAAAACCCATTCACAATAATAGTCCAGGATTTTCTTCAGTGAGATTCTAGATAGCATTCTGAGCATCTAGATCTCTATGGCCCTATATAATAAAGTTGAATGAAGATTCAACAACTTTAATAGCAACATATGTAATACCACTGGAGAAAAACACTATACTACAGATGTTACTCCAGGTGAGGGTTTACAGTAGTAGATTAAAAACCCACGCTCTGTGGAGCTAAGTTCTAATCAGAAGACCGAAAAGCGCGTACGCAATTAACTACATAATGTAGCCTAGGTCTGTGTTCTGAAAGAAAACAAGGTATGTTATGTTGCAAAACAAGGCGGATAAGTGACCAGGCACGTATGTCAAATGTAAGAAGAGTGAGGCCAAGCACTAGTGATCCACACCGGTAGCCCTAGCTACTTAGGAGGGTGAGATGTGAGAATCAGGTTTGAAGGCAGACTGTGCAAAGCTGAGGCCACCTAGCTGCAGGGTGGAGAGCACTCGGGGAGGGAGAATGCTGGGGACAGGGAAGAATACTCTGCAGTTTCAAGTAAGACTGACAAGAGCTGGAATGAGGTATTAGCTGAGGAGCAGGCAGCAGAGAAGGCTGAGTAAAGGCAGCCAGAGTAAAGGAGGAGTCTTCTAGATCAGGGCTGGAAAATACTTGCTCCTGGGCTGGGAAGGTGGCTCAGTGGTAGAGCGCTTGCCTTGCACGCATGAGGCCCTAGGTTCGATTCCTCAGCACCACATAAGCAAAAATAAAAAATCCGGAAGTGGCGCTGTGGCTCAAGTGGTAGAGCGCTAGCCTTGAGCTGAAGAACTGAGGGACAGTGCCCAGGCCCAGAATTCAGGCCCCACGACCGGGCCCAAAAAAAAAAAAGAAAATACTTGCTCCTAAGAACCAGGCAATAAGTAATGTAGTTCTTCAAGCCAAGAGACCACACTCCATCTCTATACTCATGGGCAACACATGAAACAATGGAGTGTAGCTGTGCTCATTGGTTCTGTGGCTGCTGGCACGCTGACTTGGCCTAGTAAACAAGTGTGCTGTACAAGGTTCTGACCCACATTTCCTACCCAGCTGAGATCTATCGGGCTGAGCATCCTGGTGGGAGAAAAGAGCCAACACCCAAGCGCCAGCTCTCCTGCATGAGCCTCTAGCAGGCAGCCGCAGACAGTCCTTGTCACTGTCTGACTTCCAGATCTCCACTCCAAGGTTCTCCCTTGTGACCCACTCACGTGTTGCACTTCCTGGGCAGGGCATAGCCCTCCAGGCCAGGGCGCATGGCAATGTTGGTGAGGGTGTTGCGGCAGCTGCGGCACTGGATGGAGATGCGAGTGGCCTTTGCGCGGACGGCGGAGGCTGCAATGATGATGCCAGGAATCTTCACCAGGTGTGACATCATGTCTGACTGTAACAGAGCCATCGAGAGGCTTAATGGTTAAGGAGTCAGGAAACAAGGAAAATAACCTAAGCAGCACTGGAGGTGGTGGCAGAGCTGTGGGAAGGGCCTGCAGCTTAACGTTCAGTTCAAAAACTATCCAAAGGGACTGGGAAGGTGGCTCAGTAGTAGAGTGCTTGCTTTGCCTGCATGAGGCCCTGGGTTCGATTCCTCAGCACATAAGCAGAAAAAGCTGGAAGTGGTGCCGTGGCTCAAGTGGTAGCCTTGAGCTGAAGAGCTAAGGGACAGTACCCAGGCCCAGAGTTCAGGCCCCATGACCAGAAAAAAAAAACTACCCAGAGCCAGGCATTAGCAGCTCACGCCTGTAATCCTAACTACTCAGAAAGCTGAGATTTGGAGGACAGAAGTTTGAAGCCAGCCCTTGCAGAAAAGGCCATGAAATTATTATCTCCAACCAACCAACAAAAAAAGCCAGAAGTAGAACTGTGGCTTAAGTGGCAAAGTACTGATCTTGAGCACAAAAGCTCAGGGACATCACCTAGGCCCGAGTTTAAGGCCCAGTACTGGCAAGCAAACACATACATACAAAATTTCTTTGAAGAAAAACAGAATTTTGCTTAAAACTAAATTGCAAGGGCTGGGAAGGTGGCTCAGTGGTAGAGCGCTTGCCTTGCATGCTCAAGGCCCTGGGTTCGATTCCTCAGCACCATATAAGCAAAAAAAGAAAAAAGCCGGAAGTGGCGCTGTGGCTCAAGTGGTAGAGCGCTAGCCTTGAGCTGAAGAGCTGAGGAACAGCGCCCAGGCCCAGAGTTCAAGCCCATGACTGGAACCAAAAAAAAAAAAAAAAAAAAAAAACTAAATTGCAAGTATTTAGTGATAAAGTATCATGTCTGCAATTTAAAGTTTGTTAGCAAAATAACAAAAAAGCAAAGCATTACCAATTAAATCCACATGAAGATATATGGATCACTAATCTCTTTTTTTCCTGTGGGGTTGAAACTTTTATAATAAAAAGCAAAAAAGAGTAGTAATAATGATAAAATAAATAAAAGTTCCTTATGGCATTTTTTCCTTCCTATTCCAAGAAAGATCTGTACTGGACTCTGGGAAGCCCTGAGTTGGGAGATCACCTCTGGTAAATGGAGCCAAAGCCCTGTCCAGACTCCGATGGCGGAACCCTGGAACAAGGCCTAGCACATACATTTGGCACAGCTTTCTGAAGTCCGCCATGGTGGCAGGAGAGGAAGAAACTGAAGTTTGTCTTAGCCCTCTTAGGATATCTCCAACAGGCAATTTCTTCTGGCTGGCCCACCCTCATTGAGAACAGGCCATTCATAAGAACTCCCAGCAAGGAGGCCCTTTAGGGTAATGACTGCCCCATACCAGTCAGGCAGAACCTAGTGAAACTTAAGTTTGCTTCCATACATATTCAGAGCCTTCATGATGCCAACAACCCCCCTCCAGAGCCTGCATACCGAGCCCAGGGCCTTGTTTCTGGAAGTCTTGCTACTTCCACTCCCCACACCACCACCCACAGAGCAGCAGGCTGGAGGTCTACCAAACATGAGCATGGCTTCCTGGGTGTAGTGCATGATGAAGATGCATTGCCTGACTGTAGATTCCACCCAGCTGAGTCACGTGTATCCTAACAGACCTAAAAGCAGTCCACACTTCACTTTCTCCACACTGCTTTCTCAGCTTCTACCCCTCTTCCACACAGCAATCAGGGAGCTCTTCTGTAAATCAAGTCAGGGGCTGGGGATATCATCATTCAGTGGCAGAGCCCTGTCCTAGTATGTACAAGGCCTCAGGTTGTATTCTTAGTGCTGCTGTTAAGAAAGCACAATCAGGGCTGAGAATGCAGTTTGGTAGTAGTATGCTTGCCTGGCATTCATGAAGCCCTAGGTTCCCCATAAACAGAAAAAGCTACAAGTGGCAATGTAGCTCAAGTGGTAGAGTGCTAGCTTTGAGCAAAAGAGTAGCTCAGGGACAGTGCCCAAGCCCCAGGACTGGCAAAAAAAAAGCTGGGCGCTGGTGGCTCACACCTGTAATCTTAGTTACTCAGGAGGCTGAGAGGTGAGGATCGCAGTTCAAAGCCAGGCTGCGCAGGAAAGTCCACGAGACTTTTTTGTTTGTTTTTTTGATCTGGTCATGGGGCATGAACTCTGGGCCTGGGCGCTGTCCCTCAGTTCTTCAGCTCAAGGCTAGCACTCTACCACTTGAGCCACAGCGCCACTTCCGGCTTTTTTCTTTTTGCTTATGTGGTGCTGAGGAGTCGAACCCAGGGCCTCAGGCATGCAAGGGAAGCACTCTACCACTGAGCCACCTTCCCCGCCCATCCATGAGACTTTTATCTCCAATAAACCACTCAGAAAACTGCAAGTGGCACTATGGCTCAGGTGGTATTGCACTAGCCTTGAGCTGAAGAGCTCAGGAACAGCACCCAGGCCCAGAGTTCAAGCCCCATGACCGACCAAAAAACAAAAAGAAGAAAGAAAATAGAAAACACAATCAGACTGTTCCTCCTACTTAACACCTCCAGTGCCTTCTGTGTTCCAAACAAAACTCTTACTTCTGTGAAAAGAAGGGTCTGGCTACCTGGCCTCTCCATCTTCTTTCCTCCAACCTTAAGACACTGTGCACCAGCCACATTGGTTTCTGGTCCTCCATACAGGCCTCCACCACAGAGCCTTTGCACCTGCTGTTCCCTGAGCCTGGAATGCTCTTACCCTGGCTGCATCTGGTAGGGCACATACTATTCAGAGAAGAGGCCTTCTCTAGCCACCTTCACCTCCCTCAGCCATGGACACATTGCCCTCATTTTCTTTTCTTCAAACCTTCTATCAAACTAACCATACTAATCATATCTAACCACTCCTTGGCTATTTCTCCCACTGAAAACCCCAAGAGAATAAGGGCCAGTTTTATTCAACATAATGAGTAGCCAGCCATGGGACAGGAAGCAGCCTCTTGGTGCCCCCCCCACACACACACACACACACACATGCTGTCTTCCACTGCTTGCATGCTGCTATCTCCTCAAGAAGCTTCTTTCTCCCTAGAGGTCCCCCCACTTTCTTGTCACTCCCTTGCTTGTTCTCATTGCATTTACAACCATCTAAAGTTATAAAGGGCAATGTTTACAGGTTTCACAGTCTCCCCACGGGAGACCAGATATTTTACCTTTAATCTCTGCAGGGTTGGACCAAACTCAATGCCTTCTCTCCAGAATGAGCTCAGTAAACATCTGTCCAATGAGTTAGTTTTACAAAAAAGATACAGACTCAGGATGCCAAATGCCTTGCTCAGTGCTCAGGGTCACACAGCTGGTGCCTGCGGCTGCGTGTCTCCAAAGCGCTCTCCCTAGCCTCCCAATGGACTCACTTTCAGGCTTCGAATGCTGGATGGGCTGGCATCTGACTTGAGCATGACCTGGATGTCCTGGAGTGCCTCCTCGCCAGTGGGCCGGGGCCGGGTCACCTCATCAGCTACCTCCTTAGCAGCTTCCTCCAGCTGGAGAGGAACAAAGACACAAGCTGTTGGTGACAGGACAGGACCAGGCTGGGGGGGGGGGGGGGGGGGGGGGGAGGCAACTCCAGGCCAGATCCCACTCACCAGCTGCAGGTGCTCGGCTGGCTGCTTGTACAAGTAGTCAGCCAGATCCTCATCGAAGCTGGCCAGGTCCTCCATCTCCACCTCAATCCAATACTCCCCCAGGTTGTAATGCCTCTTGAGTTCATCTCTGAGGACAGCACAGACAGGAAAGATGCAGAGGAAGAAAGTAATGCTGGCTGAGGTACACACACACCTCAGACTCCATCCTACCTAGCCACTACTCTGTCACACACAAACACCTAGTTCCATATCATCCTATCGCCAAGCCCTAGAGATTCCCTATTGCCAAGAAAGGCACTCTCCAAAGAAAACCCCTGAATTTTCAGCATGACTGAAGGACAATAGTGCAGTGCACACAGCAACAAACAAAACAGGTCTTCTGCTGCAGGATGCTTCAGAGCCTTGTCTCGCTCTTCGAGACTGAAAGAGCACAACCTCAAACTCTGAGGCTATGTCTGGCCATGGACTACTATCACAAGAACCTATTTGGGAACCGTGATCTATGCACAACATCACAGACCCCACTCTCTTCTACCTCACATCCAACAACAGAATACCCAGTCTGGCACTGAATACCCCTTGCTATCAGTGAATACTCCAGACCCCTTAGAATACCTTCCACAACTCAAAGATGCCAGCTTCTCTGAGAGCTTACCTCCTTCCATACTTTCCCACAAAACAAAGACTCATTGCCAGTTTCTACCCTCCATTCCTGACTTATGAGCTTGAGAACAAGGTTGTCTCTATGCTTGGCACACAGGTGGCAGTGCCAGTTGCTGCACAAATGGAGATAGAAATGGCTTTACTCATCTTTCTGATGAAGACTGAGGCCCAGAGACTGACACATGGAAGCCACTCAACTAGAAATGGCTAGGGCCCAATCCTACACCTACAAACCATGCCCTCACACTTTATGGTCTCCAAAGTAGAGGTGGGACCACAAGGATTTAGTGATGTCACATGCTGAGTAAGGCAGCAGGTGTCCTGGCCCAACCCCAGGGTCAGGGCCTGGATGTGCAAGATAGGGATGAAGTTCCCCTTCACAGCACCCAAAAGATAAAATCCCAGGACTGGGAAGGTGGCTCAGTGGTAGAGCACTTGCCTTGCATGCATGAGGCCCTGGGTTAGACTCCTCAGCACCATATAAGCAAAAAGAAAAAAGCCGAAAGTGGCGCTGTGGCTCAAGTGGTAGAGTGCTAGCCTTGAGCTGAAGAGCTGAGTGACAGCACCCAGGCCCAGAGTTCAGGCTCACAACAGGACTCTCCCCCCCCCCCAAAAAAAAGATAAATCCCCAGATCATCAGACATCATGGGATCAGATAACATGACTAAAGACCGACCAGCTGGGCACCAGGAATCCTAACTACTCCAGAGGCTGAGATCTGAGTATCCCAGCGCAAAGCCAGCAGAGACCTGAGGATCCCATTAACGAAGCCAGCCGGGACAGGAGAGTCCTTGAGACTCTGATCTCCAATTAACCACCGAAGAGCAGTTAGTGGGGTGTAACTCAAGTGGCAGAGTGCCAGCCTTGGGCGCCAATGCCCAGACTCTTAAGGGTCCAAGCTCAGTTCCCCGCCCTTCACTCCCCCCCACCCCCCGCAAGGAAATAGAACCAGGAGCCAGGTGGCTCACCCCAAAGATGCCCTGAGGTCGCCCTACGGCGAGGCCCCGTGGCCCCCCTCCGCCGTGGCGCCCTTCTCCCGGGCTCCTCGCGCGCCCTCCCGGACCGAGGTCCACCTCGGGGTATCCCCAGGCTCCCACCTGTACTTGAAGGTGAAGCCCGTGCGGTCGGTGCCCACTCGGTACTGCCGCAGGAACTCCTTGAAGCGCTTCTGCAGCTGCGACTTGCGGGCCTGCCCTTCGTCGGCGCCGGGGTCCCCCCCGAAGCTGTCGCTGTAGAAGACGCCAGGATCGTCGAAGCCCGACATGACGGCCCCTGGAGAGAGGAAGCGGAGTTGAGCGGGGCTGGAGGGGAGGGAGGGTGAGGAAGGCGCGCGGCGCCCCCGTCCGCGGGAACCCCGTCCCCACCCGCCGCGCCCCGAGACGCAGCACCCTGCCCACCCCCAGGGAGCCCGCCCCCACTCCCGGTCCCACACCGGCCTCACCGCTCCTTGACCGCACCACGCACACCAGCAGAAACAAGCAGCTCCACGCTCCCGCGGCTGAGTTTCGCGGGAAAAAAAAAGTTGTCGCGTTCGCCGCCGCGGAAGGTGCGCTCCTATTGGTTCTCTTAGGCCCCGCGGTCAACGATTGGGCCGCTCGGAGCCTTTAAGTCCCGCCTTCCTAGACGGATTCCCGAAGCTGATGGGCTGCCTTGCTCGTGACGTCACACGCCGCCTCTTTCCGGGTTCCATTTTGTGTGAGGAATAATTTGGCGCGAAATTTCTGAGCGGGGAGGAAGCCACGGCGGGAGCAAAGATGGCGGAGGGGCGGGTAGGCCGGGGGGAGCCGGTGAGTTTTATCCTTAAGTCTTTTTTAAGTCCTGTGAGAAGATGAGCCATTCCAGAGCCACCAAAAGAGGGACTAGGAGTTCAGAACTCGTGAGGCCCAGAGAAATGCTTTCCCGCGCGGCCGGGCCCTCCTCGGGCGCTTTCCCGCTCGCTCTAGGCCCAAAATCGTCCCAAACTTGGGACTCTGGTGTCTTGTTTTGGACCCGAGCCAGATATTAATGCAGAGGGCTTAATCCCCAGCACCAGGGGAAAGACAATTAACAATGACGATTGTAGGATGTTTGTAATTCTTTGGCAATACTTATATATGACAAACAATCCAGACCAGACTTCTATGGAAATCTTGAGAAAAAAAAAAAAAAGGAAGATTTGGGCTGGCAATGTGGCTTAATGGTAGAGTGCTTGTGTAGCATGTGTGAAGCCCTGGGTTCAATTCCTCAGTACCACATAAATAGAAAAGCCAGAAGTGGCGCTGTGGCTCAAGTGGTAGAGTGCTAGTCTTGAGCAAAAGAGAAACTCAGGACAGTGCCCAGGCCAGGCCCTGAGTTCAAGCCCCAGGACACACACACACACACACACACATTCACATATGGAACACGGCGTAATTTGTCTTCTGTTGGTTTTCCCTATGCAAAAATAACTTATTTTTGCCATCATATCTATATTAGGAGCATTTTTACAGTTAGTAAAAATAAAAAAGCCCTCCACAGACGGAGACTGGAGGATCAGGAGTTCAAAGATAGCCTGAGCTATATACAGCAAGACCTAGTCTCAAAAAAACGAGTTGGGGGGCTGGGAAGATGGCTCAGTGGTAGAGCGCTTGCCTTGCATGCCTGAGGCCCTGGGTTTGAATCCTCAGTACCACATAAGCAAAATGAAAAAAGCCAGAAGTGGTGCTGTGGCTCCAGTGGTAGAGCTCTAGCCTTGAGCTGAAGAGCTGAGGGACAGTGCCCAGGCCCAGAGTTCAGGCCCCACAACCGGACCCAAAAAAAAACAAACGAGTTGGCACTGTATGTTACCTACCTGTAATCCAAGCTACAGGTGAGGTGAAGGAAGGAGGATTGTGTTCAGTTTTGAGCAAAAAGCCTCTCTTATCTGACAATATAATAAAGCAGGGGTTGGAGGTATGGTTCAAATGGTAAAACACCAGCCTAGCAAGAGAGCAACCCTGAGTTTCTAATGGTTCAGTTCACATTAGGAAATGACTATAACCCTAGTCCCTGTTCCAGCCTGTGGATCTGATCCTAATTTTCATGTTTGCCTGACACAACTGTCTCCTGGCATTCACACTGAGTTTCCCATTAGTGGCATTTCACTTCCCTAATTCTACTCAGTCCCTCAAAGAACACTTCCCCCTTTCCACTCCCTTCTTTTAAAATGCCCAGTCGGGCCAGGCGCCCATGGCTCACACTTGTTATCCTAACTACTCGAGGCTGAGATCTGAAGATTTTGGTTTGAAGCCAGCAGAGGCAGAAAAGCCCGTGAGACTCTTAGTTCCCATAAACTGCTCAGATAAAGCCAGAAGTGGCACTGTGTCTTAAGTGATAGAGCACTAGCTTTGAGCACAAAGAGGCTCAAGGCCAGGCCCATAGTTCAAGCCCCAGGACCAGAAAAATAAAATAAATGCCCAGTTGGATGTAGTGGCATTAGTCTTAGAAGCTGAGGCAGGAATATTCCTTAAGACCCCACCAGAGCAAAATCCTGTTTTAACAAAAATATACCATTTACCAATGTCCAAATTGAAGTCATCTTCCATTCTTCTTGAACACTTCCCTATTTGAACAGCTTTTTACTGATTAAAACCTGCCCTTGCTGGGTGCTAGTGGCTTACACCTATAATCCTAACTACACAGGAGGCTGAGATCTGAGGGTCCCAGCTCAAAACCAGCCTGGGCAGGAAAGTCCCTAAGACTCTTTTATCTCCAATTAAACACCAGAAAACTAGAAGTGACACTGGCTCAAAGTAGTAAGAACCTTTGAGGTTAACCTTGAGGAAAGAGCTTAGGGACGGCACCCAGGCCCTACCACTGACACACACAAATCTGTAACTAGAGTCAGGCTTTTTTAGCTTTAAACAATTGACAGTCTTTGACTGTTCTCCTCTTGTACAATTCAAGATGGTTTCTCTCCCTCCCTCCTTACCTCCCTCATCACACAATGAGTATGTGGCCTGTTTCCACAAGAGGAAACTGGGCCCAAGGTGGGAGAGCCACAGCTGTGGTCTGATCCCTAGGGTTTGCATATATGCATGCATTCTCATGACATGTATGTCCACAGTGGCTGGTAGACCAGAAGCACAATGGAACCTTCCAGCATGCCTTTCACAAAGGCAATTGGAAGCCCCTCCAACACCCACCCATCCCCAGCCAGATCTCTAGACCAGAACACAGATCCCTGGGTTCTTTTGGTATCTTGGGGATAGGGGGTGGGAAGTATCTCTGATGTATGTTTGTTTGTAATGTTTGTTTAACAGATGTGGGAGGCAGCTATATTGCTCTCATTTTTCCAACAAATAGGATGAGAAATGCTAACAAGGAGGGTGAATGGAGATGAATAAGGGCCAAGTAGGCAGTAGGCATTGATGGAAATGGAACAATGAAACCTGGAAGTGTTTGGGGGAAAGAGCCTGGTAGCAGGGGTGAGTACATTGTATTCCTGAGTGGAAATGTCACAGTAAAACCCATCACACAAAATAAATGTACGTATGCTAACATAATTAGTAAAGAAGGGGCTGGGAGGTGGCCCGGTGGTAGAGCGCTTGCCTTGCATGCCTGAGGCCCTGGGTTTGATTCCTCAGCACCACATAAGCAAAATGAAAAAAAAAAAAAAAAAGCCGGAAGTGGCGCTGTGGCCAAGCGGTAGAGCACTAGGCTCGAGCTGAAGAGCTGAGGGACAGCGCCCAGGCCCAGAGTTCAGGCCCCACGACCGGACCCAAAACATAATTAGTAAAGAAGATGTGAAGCAACCTGGGCTGGGAAGGTGGCTCAGTGGTAGAGTGCTTGCCTTGCATGCATGAGGCCCTGGGTTCAATTCCTTAGCACCACATAAGTAGAAAAAGCCAGAAGTGGCGCTGTGGCTCAAGTGGTAGAGCCCTAGCCTTGAGCTGAAGAGCTCAGGGACAGGGCCCAGAGTTCAGGCCCCATGACCAACCAAAAAAAAAAAAAAAAAGGTGTGAAGCAACCTGCCCAAGATTCCAGACTTAATGGCAGAGCCAGGAGAGACAAAGATCTCCAGTCCCAATCCTCATGTGCTGCTGCTGGCTGTCCCCTGCTCTGCCCACCTACCTCCCATGAAGAGTTTTTACTTCTACAGATTGGGAAGCCACATGTTTATAGTCTTTCAGGGGCTTTTGTGACTACGGGAGGTGGAGGAAGGGCCTGGATTTGGGACCTGGTTCCAGTCCTCCCTGAGCCTCAGTCGGGTCCAGTTAACTGTGAGAATGAACACAGGGCATGAGGTGACTCCCACAGTACAAGAATGAGAAGCACAGGTGAGGCCACAGAGCCCATGGCAGCACTTTGGGTTGCTGTTAGACAGTGTTGTTTATTATTACATACCAACATGGAAACCAAAGCCACTCTTGTTAAACATCTCCCCCTCCCCCACCCTCCCCACCCTCCCCAAAGAGACAGCCCAGACTTGTTATAAAACAACAGAACATAAGACATTACCATACTGTTCAAGTGGAACCAAGAACAAAGAGTGGATCCAACAAAAAAAAAGAGACACAAGACACAACATCTCTGCACATAGAAAAAATGCCTTTCACAACCCTTGAGAAAGCCGTCATGGTCATGGCCAAGGTAGATACAGGGGCAAAGGACATAGGAAGGCTCAGGATAGCTGCTGCTTTCAGCCAGGCCATATCTTCTGGGCTCTGTTGTAAGAACCAGAGCCACTGGGTTTGGATGTCTAGGCCACTGGCTGGATGTGCTACATATGCTTTCCAGGCAGGAGCGGGGGACATGCCACAAGCACCTCCCTCCATTTCAGAGGGATATGAGGAGAAGGTTAGAAGCCCTGAAGGCTTCCAGTGTCCCAAAGTGAAAAATCAGGCAAGAGATTCTGTGCCTCTCCAAGGAGAGGGTCCTTCACTGGACAGTTCATGGTCCCTGGGGACCAGCACACTAGCATTCATATTGCATAAAGTCCCACAGCCACTGTTGCCACCAGAAAGCTGAAGGTGAGGACCCATCGGAGGAATGGCGTCTGGGAGAGTCTGCTGAGCTGGGCGTTCCCTTTAGGACCCTCTGTGGAGTCTGAAAAAGAAAGGCAAGCATGGTCAACCCCAGGTGGGCAGAGTGGCTGACATCACAGATCTACAGAACAGAGGGACCTTGGCATCTGTGCTACAGTCCCAGTCCAAGGCCAGGATTCTGCTAGAACACAAATGGATTGAGTGAATCCCTCCAGAGATGGGAAGCTCACTACCTCTCCAAATCATCTGTCCTTCCATGCTCAGCCCCTGTGGGTTCCTTCTGGGCCCAGGGCATGTTTTCCAGACTCTTGCCTGTGATCAGGAAGGCCCTCCCTTTAAGCTTTCCTGATCACTAGGTCTGAGCTGTACATCTCAGATGTTGACACATTTAGTAAGAACGGGGTAAGGTAATAGGCAGGATGGGAAATAGAGTGACACCTGTGGGGTCAGAATTTTAAATTTAATCCCAGGGCTACAAGCTCTGGCCCTGGCCCCACTAAACAGAGAAACTGCTACCACCCAAGACATAGACACATTAGCCACCAGAAGTAACAGGGATCTGACTTTTGGAAAATTGCAGTAGAAATTCATGAGACAATGAAATTCCAAAAGAGCAAAAAAATAAAAACAAAAAACACTAAGCTGGGTGCTGGTAGCTCCTGCCTGTAATCCTAGCTACTCAGGAGGCTGAGATCTGAGGATCATAGTTCAAAGCCAGCCCAGGCAGGAAAGGCCCTGAGACTTTTATCTCCAATTAACCAGAAAATTGGAAGTGGCACTGTGGCTCAAGTGGTAGAGTACTAGCCTTGAGCAAAGGAGCTCAGGGACAGAACCCAGATCCTAAGTTCAAGCCCCACAACTGACAAAAGAAAAAAAATCTTATGTCCTTTCCTGCCTGGGCTGGCTCAAAGTGGTACAGCACTAGTTTTCACAGAGCCCAGGGCCTGAGTTCCATCCCCATAACTGACAAAGGAAAAAAAAAAAAATCCAATAAAACAAAACCAAACCTCACTGATCGTCTCCACTGCCTCCCACCCCATACACACTATTGAGAACCATGACCTTACTGCAGAGTCTCCTTATACCACCAGGTGGCTACCTAGTCCCATCTGACTGGCCGTAAACTAATCCTCCAGGCCTAATCCTGTCAGTGGGGTCCCCTTGTGGCCCTGGCAGAGGACAGGGGAGTTCAGTTGCCCCACTCCCCTCTTACGGGTGCCTGGCTGGGCAAGGGCACATTTTGTGGAGTACTTTGGCCTTGTTGGAAGTCGTCAGATGTTTCTACTACAGCCATACCTTCCACAGCTCCTGGGGAGCAGGAGGAGGAGCTGACAGGCAAGACCCAGTCTACTGTGTCCTCCCAGCATTCCTGGTGGGGTAATAACTGCAAACAAGTCCCTTGCATCCGGCCTCACTTGGAGACCTGCTCACCAGTTCCCAGAGTCTCAAAAAGAGTCTAAACCCATCTCAACAAAAATAGCTGGGTGTGATGGTATAGGTTTATAATCCCAGCTGCATAGGCATTGTATGTAGGCAGCTTGTGGATCTAGGCCAGCCAAGGCCCAAAAACCCCCCACAAAACCCTATTTGAAAAGTAACTTAAGCAAAAGGACTGGAGTGTGGTTCAAAAGTGGTAGAGCATCCACCTAGGAAGTTCAGGCCCTGAGTTTAAACCCATAGCTCACACCTGTAATCCTAGCTACTGGAAGGAAGCTGAGATCTGAAGATTGCAGTTCAAAGCTAGCCTTGAACAGGAAATCTGTGAGACTCTTATCCCCAACTAACCACCAAAAAGCAAGATACGTGAATCTGTGGCTCAAGTGGCAGAGTGCTAGCCTGAGCACAGATGCTCAGGGCCAGCACCCACACTCTGAATTCAAGTCTCAGGACAGCACAAAAACAAACCCTCCAGAAAAGAAGTCTAAATAGAGACACTGCCTTCTAAGCACCTGAGCCAACAAACTCATTGTCTCTTGATTCTTGAGGTAGGGAAACAGTCACATTGAAGATTAACCCTGTGGCTCTTTGGCCTGCAACCCACTTGTCCCTTAAAACATTCAGAAGACAGAAGAGTAAAGAAATCCCAGAAAGCCAGGTGCCTATGGCTCACACCTGTAATCCTAGCTATTCAGGAGGCTGAGATCTGAGGATCATGGTTTCAGCCCAGGTAGGAAGGTTCATGAGACTCATCTCCAATTAAGCACCAAAAGTGAAGTGAAGGTCAGGCAATCATCAGAGCACTAGCCTTGAGAAAAAAGCTCAGGACAGCTCCTAGGCCCTGAGTTGAAGCCCTCTAAAGCAGCACACATGCAAAAGAAGTATCCAAGATGAACAGCTAGGCCATTTCCCTCCAGCAAGAAGAGATACCCTCCTCACCTTGCACCCTGCTGCTGGCTCGCCGGTGGAGCCCAGGAACTTGAGATGGGCTCTGGTCCTTTGAGTCCTGGGTCAGCAGTCCCTGCAACTCCTCAAACAGCTGGAAGACAAGATACACACACCCTTCAGTCAGTGAATACTTCACCAGACCCCAGCTGTGGATAAGGCTTTAAGCTTAGTTATAAAACATTGTGGCAGGCTAGGAATGTGGCTTAGTGGTAGAGTGCTTGCCCTGGGTGAAGCCCTAGATTCAATTCCTCAGTACCACATAAACAGAAAAATCTGGAAGTGGCGCTGTGGCTCAAGTGGTAGAGCACTAGCCTTGAGCACAAAAAGGCTCAGGGACAGTGTCCAGGCCCTGAGTTTAAGCCCCAGGACTGGCAAAACAAAAACAAACAAACACTAATGGTGCTGTGGCTTAAGCGGTAATGCTAGCCTTGAGCACAAAGAGGCTGAGGGACAGTGCCCAGGCCCTGTGTTCAAGCCCCACAACCAATAACTATAAAAAAAAAAAAAAAAAAAAAAGTATTTTGGCAATAAAAAAAATTAGAAGAAAATGTAAATGCTCATTTATATTTTACTCAGTTTATCCTCTTCCCAAACATGGAGTGCCCCTGACCCAGGCCCCAGAGCAACAGCTGTCCTGAATGCAGATTCACTGCAGCCATCACGCCTTTGCCATCCACATGTGTAGCACTGCTCTGCCAGTGTTGAACAGCAGATGGTATCTGTATTGTGAGCTTCCCAGAGCTTGGGAGGGCTTTGTCTGAGTCAGGACACAGAGCCAGCTACAAGCTATTGGATTTTTCTAGAAGTGACTGGATTTGGGGGAGTGATAGGAAAGGCACTGCTGTAACAAGTGTCTGATCAGTCTCCTCTGGGACCCCCAGCTGGAACTTCCGGCCCCGTGGTACCCTCAGTAATGGTATACTATACCATCTGGGGTGAAGAGGACCCCATCCCTCAAGCTCCATCCAAGAATTCATCTTCAAGCTAAGCTCTGGTGCCTCACACCTGTAATCCTAGCTACTCAGGAGGCTTGAGATCTAAGGATCGAGATTCAAAGCCAGCCCAGGCAGGAAAGTCCATGAAACTCTTCAATAAACCACCAGAAAACTGGAAGTGGCACTGTAGCTCAAGTGGCAGAGTGCTCGCCTTGAGCTGAAGAGCTGAGGGACAGCGCTCAGACCCAGAGTTCAAGCCCCATGACCAAGCCAAAAAAAAAAAAATTCATCTTCAAGGCCCTGCTCCAACCTTACTTCCTCCTTCCCTTCCTCCTTCCCCCAGGACTGAAGCAGCTGTAGAAAGAAATCAGCCACCCTCCTCACTGGCCTAAAGACAGGCCTTGTGTCCAGTGCCTGAAACTCTTGCAGTGCCAACTTGGTGACCCATGAGTGTGTGGACACCTTAGAAGCTCCCCAGATTTATCACCACGGGATGGTTACGCCCCATAGAAACAGCAGCTAACATTGCTGGACAGACATTGTGGCCAGCACTTCTGCAGGGACTTCACTGGCACCAATGCCTTCTCCCTCCCAATGTGAAGAAGGTGTTATTATCATCCCTATAATGCAGATGAGGAAACTAAAGCATGGAGATATTATGGGATTTTCCCAAGATCACCTAACTAGGAAGTGGCAGAGCTACAACCCTGGTCCTTCAGTGCCGGCTTAGCCCTGACCAATAACATTAATGACACTCAGGGCCTGGAGACTCAGCAGGGGGCAGGACATCCTGTGGGTTCCTCACCTCGATATTGAGCAGGAATGCGGTCTTGGCCTCTTCAATCACTCTCTGCCTGATCTTGGGGGTCATCTCCAGCGTATTCATGCGGGCACGGTAGAGCTGCTTGAACTTGGTGGCACTCTCGATGTTGGGGAAGGTGAAGAAGGCCAGGCCTTCACCAGAGCTGGGCAGGTCCAGGGCCTTCTGTGCAATCTTCTTGAGGACCTGGCCCCCAGACAGGTCTCCCAGGTAGCGGGTGTAGGCATGGGCCACCAGCAGCTCGGGCTCGGTGACCCCTACCTTGTGGAGTTGCTTCACATAGTGCTGTGTGCCTGGCGTGTAAGGGATGGTCTCCTGCCAGTGGGGCCCGTACCAGAAGGCCATGTCCTGCTCCAGGGCGGCCTTGCGGTGCAGCTCCTCCGGGAAGTAGAGGGGGGCGAAGACGGGGCTTGCCTTGTTACGCTCAATCTCCTCCTCCAGAGCCGTGTAGATATGGTACAGGGAGGCCATCACCAGCTGGAAACACAAGGACAGGTCTAGCTGTCCATTTCTGCACCTGGCTCATACCTGTCACCCCTGCCTGGGCCCCTGCCTCCTAGGACTCTCCAGTTCTCTCCAGGGGTATCTCCTCAGGGGAACATTCTACCATGGCATTCTCAGCTAAAAACATTTTTAACCTTACTAACACATGCAGCCTTGTTTAATTCTTACACAAATACATTAAGGGTGATTCTGTTCCCATTTTACAGAAAACTAAGGTTCAGAGAGTGTTTGAGATATTGGGGTTGCACAGTGAATAAGATATTAGGAGCAGGCGGTGGCTCATGCCTGTAATCTCAGCTACTCAGGAGGCTGAGATAGCTCAGGGCCAGTGCCTCCTGGCTCCTAGGTCAAGCTCCAATACAGACACACAGAAAAAGAAAGAAAAAGAAAGTAGGAGTCTGATGCTACCAATGAACTACCATGGCTCTGGAACAGGGCAGAATACGTTTAAAGTGCTCAGAGGAGACTGGCCAGGCATCTCTGGGGTCTGGGGAAATGGGACCTGCAGAGCACAGTTCTCCTTCTTGTGGCCCCAGCTCTGCTGTCTTTGGGTACTGAACTGAGCAAGAGGTCTAGCACTCAGAAAACACCAGGTATACGTTAACACTCCAGGCTTGAGTTTGCAGGAGTGAAAGTTAGGAATTCTCGTTAAGGCGAGTTATTTCTAAGCCCAAACGTTCTTTTTATTATTATTTTTTTCTGGTATGGGGCTTGAACTGAGGGCCTAGGTACAGTCCCTGTGCTCATGTGCTCAAGGCTAGTGCTCTACCACTTGGAGCCACAGCTCTACTTCTGGTTTTCTGGTTGTTAATTGAAGATAAGAGTCTCGTGGAGTCAGGCGCCGGTGGCTCACACCTGTAATCCTAGCTACTCAGGAGGCTGAGCTCTGTGAATCACAGTTCAAAGCCAGCCCAGGCAGGAAACTCCGTGAGACTCTTATCTCCAATAAACCACTAGAAAACCGGAAGTGGTGCTGTGGCTCGAGTGGTAGAGCACTTACCTTGAGCTGAAGAGCTCAGGGAAAGTGCCCAGGCCCAGAGTTCAAGCCCCATAACTGACAAAAAAAAAAGTCTCATGGACTTTCCTGCCCAGGTTGGCTTTGAACTGTAATCCTCAGATGTTAGCTAGGGTCACTGAACCACTAGTGCTGACCTTTATTATTTCTGTTAAGTAGCTGTACAAGGGATTACAATTCCATAAGCTCAAACATTCTTAGAAATCCCATTCCTTGAGAGGGTAGACAGCTAGGAAACTTGGTATAAGAGAGGCGGGGCTTTCCAGTATGACAGACCCAGTTCTAACCCTGATCACCCATGCCCCAGCTGTGTGAGCTTGGCTGAGTCATTTGCCCTCTGGCCTCAGCTACCCAGCCTAGGAAAGAGATGGTTCCAGGTCAGTGACTGTAAGTCAGGTGGTTCCGTTCCACCTTGGCCTTAGGACATAATCCAAACACCTGGCTGTGTGAAGGTAGAATTAAGTTTTAGGTGCAACCCAGGAAGTTCCCTGGCACTTAGTCCTCCCATCAGCTGACTGTACCAGTCATCCTAGCAGCCTAACAGCAAGGAATTCTGGGCTGCCTCAATCGATGGTGCTCACTTTGAGGTGTGAATTACGGGCAGGATCCAAAGTCTACGATGGCTGTGGACAGCACATTCCAGCATCTCTGCCCCCATTGCCCAACCATGTGGCAATAACTGGGGGGCATATATTCTTTTAGAGATGATGGAGAAACACAAAGCTCTTCCTGCCATAGAACACAGCCAGGACTCCCAGAACTGCAAGTCAGACCTCCCCTCACCAAAGCATCCTTCATGATAGAAGTGGGGCTCAGCAGAGCTCTGTGTCATGAGTGATAGAACCCAGTGTGTGCCAGTCCTGGGGCTTGAACTCAGGGCCTGTGACCTGTCAATAAGCTTTTTTGCTCTACCATGTGGGCCACACCACCACTTACAACGTTAACTGGAGATTAGTCTCACAGACTTTCTTGCCCAAGCTAGCTTTTAATACAATCCTCAGATCTTGACCTCCAGAGTAGCTAAGATTATAGGCCTAGGGGGCTAGGAAGTTGGCTCAGTGGTAGAGCGCTGGCCTTGAGCTGAAGAGCTGAGGGACAGCGCCCAGGCCCAGAGTTCAGGCCCCACGACCGGACCCAAAAAAAAAAAAAAAAAAAAGATTATAGGCCTAGCCACTGGTGCCAGGCCAATACAGTTTTTGTTTTGTTTTATTTTTTTGGTACCAATCCTGAGGCTTGAACTTAGTGACTGAGCACTGTCTCTGAGCTTTAGTGCTCAAGGCTAATGTTCCACTACTGGAACTACTTCTGGCTTTTTGATAGTTAATTGGAAATAAAAGTCTCATGGACTTTTCCTGTCTGGGGTGGCTTTGAACCATGATCCTCAGATCTCAGCCTCCTGAGATATTAGCAACTGGAACAATGCTACAGATGTTTTTGAGGGCATAAAACACCAGTACCTGCCTGTTTTTTAGTCTACTTTTTCCTTCTATGAGCATGAATTGCACAACCATGCCAGGAAATAGTAAAATCAGGGCCTAGTGTACATTGAGTGCTTAGAAAGGGCCTGATGTTGAAATCCCATTTCATAGATGAGGGAGAAAAGTAGCTGGAACAGGCAGCTTGGGTCATTAGATGAGGGCTCCTGGTCTACTTTTTTTGGCCAGTCCTGGGGCTCAAACTCAGGGTTGTACACTGTCCCTAAGCTTCTTTTGCTCAAGCTAGCACTCTACCACTTGAACCACAAAACCACTTCCAGCGTTTTATGTTTATGTGATGCTGAGTAATGGAATCCAGGGCTTCATGCATGCTAGGCAAGCACTCTACTACTGAGCCACATTCCCAACCCCCTGGTCGACTGTTAGAAAAGGATCCTGCCAGGGCCCAAACCCATCCTACAGACCATTTGGCCTTCAAAGCCAAATTCGAATTTGATCAGGAGAGGAGGGCATAGGGATTCATGCCTATAATCCCAGCATTAGGGTGGTAAAGGCAGGAGTATCACAAATTCAAGGCCAGCCTTGGCTTCAGAACAAGACTATATTAAAGCAGAACAAAACGAAAAGGCTGGGGCTGGAAATGCAGTGGTAGAGTAGTTGCCTAGCATGCATGAAGCCCTGGGTTTGATTCCTCAGTACCACATAAACTGAAAAAGCTGGAAGTGACACTATGGCTCAAGTGGTAGAGTGCTAGCCTTGAGCAAAAGAAACAAGGACAGTGCCCAGGCCCTGAGTTCAAGCCCCAGGACTAGCCAAAAAAAAAAGTCTGAGGCTGTAGCTCAGTGGTAGAGCACTTGCCTAACATGAGCAAGGCACTGGGTTTAATCCCCAGCATCACAGAAAGAATCAGGTCAGGAGCCTAAAGGTCAACATGAGACCCACGTTTCTTTCCTTTCGGTCTTTTCCCTGTATAGAGATACAGCTGTGTTGCTTTTTGTGAATCACTCAACTTTGGTGAGTCTTCCCATCATCATCAGGGTTGAGTCACAAGTGTATAAATTGGCCGGCACAGACTCGGTAGTCAATTGATAGTATTGTTGCCTGAGGGCCTCCACCAACACTGCAGAGCAGGCCCTGAGTCCACTGTGTGACAAGGTAAGTCACCTCTCTGAGCTTCAGCATTAAGACTAATAAAACAACTTCCTTCATCAAGCCTACTTGGTCCCTGGCCATCCCTGATTACAGCCTCTACTTAGGCCACTTAGCTTGAGTCTTGGGCACACAGGCCATGTCCCTAGTAGGATTGAACCAATCAGGCCACTTACCTTAAAGCCCTCCGGGGTCACCTGGCCCTTCTGAAAGTTTCTCATGAACTCAGCATTCTCGGCCTGCACATGCACCTCCTTGGTGGCCTCCTTCAAGGCTTCGGACAGGTCCTGGGGTATGCTGCAGAGGGAAGGAGAGAGATCAGTAATGGGAGCTGCATGTGAGGGCCACGCCCAACATGCTGCAGCCCTCCCTCCCAGCAACCTCACTTTCTCCATGGCATCTGCAGAAAGAGGTGCCAGCCCTGTCACTGCTGTCAGTAAAATACTATTCTCAAAGGGAAAACCCTGTCCCCAGTCATTCCCAGGGAAGGCCAGGGGAGCCCAGCACAGCCCAGAAGTCCAGGGGAAAACCAGGCAGGTATGACAAGCCCCAGAACTCAACAAAACTGCTTTGATTTTTTTGTTGTTGTCATTTGTTGTGGGGCTTGAGCTCAGGGCCTGGGAGCTATCCCTGAGCCTCTTTGTGCCCAAGACTAGAACTCTACCCTACCACTTGAGCCACAGCACCACTTCTGGTTTTTGAGTGGCTAATTGGAGGTATCATGGAGACTTTTCTGCCCTGGCTGGCTTTGAACCACAATCCTTAGACCTCAGCCTTCTGATTAGCTAGGATTACAGGCATGAGCCACCCATGCCCCGCTTGCTTTGTTTTTTAAATCAAGTATTTAATTTCTTTCAAAGTTGCAGATGCAAATCTTGTGGAACACCCCCCCACACACACACACACTCTAGAATGTTATTCTCATCATCAAATTGTGCATTAGAAGGTCTAAGAAATTTCCCCTGTAGTCAAAGAGAAAGTCCTGTGGGGATGTGGTGGACAGGCCTATGATCGCAGCTGCTGAGGTGGCCAGAAGCAGAAAGATCCCAAGTTCAAGTCTAGCATGGGCGATTTTAGCAGGCATGTCTCAAGATTTTTAAAGCTGGGGATGTAGCTTAGTGGTAGAGTCCTTGCCCAGCACATGCAAGACCACCCTGAATTCAATTACCAGTAACATGAAAGGAAGGAACCGAGGAGAAAAGAGGGAAGGAGGGGAGAGATGAAAGGGAAGGAGAGAGGTAGGGTGGGAAAGAGATCTATCTCTTTCTCAGATGTATTTCTGAGAGGTATCTGAATCCCCTTTCTCAGAATGGACATTTCTCCCCTTCTCCAGAGCCTTTCCTGAAAACATGTCCCCCTCCCATACACACGGTTCAAATTCCGGGGCGGGCCAGCCAGCCTCGGAGGCCCTGTGGTTCGGACATGGCTAGAGCAGAACGGGCTGCCCCCCAGGATGGGACACACCCGGACAGACACCTGGGGCACACCTGTCCTGCGGCCCAGCGAGGTCACGCTCAGCTCAGCCAGCCACACCAAGCCAGACCCCTAAACCCCTAAAGTTGGCTGTTGCAAGGGCTGACCCCTCGGGGGTACCCTCCCCCCCCCCCGCCCCGGGCGCCAGGCACATAAATCACCCTTCCTCCTCCCGACTGCTTACTGGCCCGGGCAGGACAGGGCAGGCAGCCCGTCCCTGCCCGCACGGCGGGACCGAAGGGTCGGTCCCCCCCTCGCGGGGACCCCACGCTTCCGTCCCGGGGCCCACACTTGCCTGTCTTGGTGCTGGCGCTCCATCGCTTGGGCCTGGCGGGGGGCGGCGGGCGGGCTGGGGTGCGCGGCTCTGCGGGTGGGGCCAATGAGGTCCGGATCCGGCCGTGCGGCGTGGCCAGTGGCTAGGAGCCAGAGGACGTGGTGAGGAACGCAGCCCGGCCCCTTTTATACTGGCGGCGGGTCACGTGGCGCCTCCCGGCTGGGCCCCCGCCCCGCCCCGTTTCCTCCCCCCCCCCCCCCCGCGCCCCGCCCAGCATTGCGACACCGCCCCCGGCCAGCAGGCGGGCTGGGGGGCAGTCATATGACCCCAGGAAACAAAGCTCAGCCATGGGATGTTTAAAAAAAAAAAGGAAATCTGAGTCTGTGCTGAGCTTTGGCTGTGATTTAGCCCCTGCCAGAAACCCCAACCACTGACCCAGACACTCCAAGAATCTAGAAGGTTCCAGAAAGCAGTGCTTCTCAGAGCCAGAGGCTAGTGGGCACCATGGATACAACCCACCACAGCCGACCCACCCCGGGGCCTACACTTAACACCAGGCTGAAGACTAGTGTCGGCTTCTTCCTGAGTTATTCTGCAGGGCAGATGGTTGCCACTTCACGGATGGGAAAACTGAGGCTTGGGGATGGACTGTCCAGGGTCACATATAAAGCAAGAACCTGGTATCCACTGGGCACTGGTGGCTCACTCCTGTAATCCCAGCTATCCAGAAGGCTGAGATCTGAAGACCATGGTTTGAAGTCAGCCCAGGCAGGAAAAGTCCATTTGAGATTCTTATCTTCAATAAATGACACCCTGTTCCCCCTCAAAAACAGCCCAGAAAACAGCCAGAAGTGGACCTGTGGGTCATGTGGTAGAGCACTAGCCTTGAGCAAAAAAAAAGTTTAGGGACAGTACCCAGGTCCTGAGTTCAAGATCTAGGACCAACACACACACACACACACACACACACAATCAATAAAAAGAACCTGGCATCCAAGGGTCTACCTGCCTGCCTCCTCCCCTCTCACAACACTTGGTTCCCCACACACACTACAACACTTACTCTGTCTGTGTGTGTGTTGTTGTTGTTGTTGGGCTTGTGCACACACATACATGTACTGGGGCTTGAATTCAGGGTCTCACTTGGCTTTTTTGCTCATGGCTAGCACTCACCATGTAAACCATACCTCCCCTTCCAGGATGGTGGCTTTTATATAAACTGCCTCGAGGCTTGGATGCCTGTGACATTCTTCCAAGACACACAGCTCCCTCTTTTCTCATCCTTGGTGCCCACTGAGCCTGGAGCAAGGCTGGCCTCCACCACTCACCTGCTCAGTAATTCTTCATGAGATGGAGCAGCCACTCCAACTCTTTGTTTAAATGGAGTGTCCACATTGTGTAACCTCAAACTCATAATCCTCCTGCATCAGCCTCTTGAGTGCTGGGATTATAGGGGGACATTACTATAACCAGCTTCTTTTTTTTTTTTTTTAAGGTGACTAGATTGTGCCAAGGACATTGGAGGTAGCAAGAGCTCTACCTTTAATGGGATGTGTGCCATGTGTCTAGACTTCTTTCAGTGGGTCTAGGATGGCCAAGTCCTCCCCTGTGTGTTCAAAAGTCAGTAGTGCTTGGTAAAGTATTTGGCAAATCCTTTTTTTTTTTTCTTTTTTGCCAATCCTGGGACTTGAACTCAGTGCCTGAGCTCTATCTCTGAGCATCTCTCTGATCAAGGCTAGCTCTCTACCACTTGAGCCACACATCACTTATGGCTTTTTCTGAGTAGTTTATTGGAGGTCAGAGTCTCATGGACTTTCCTGCCAGGTTGACTTCGAACCATGATCCTCATATCTTAGCCTCCTGAGTAGCTAGGATTATAGATGTGAGCCACCAGCACCTGGCCAACTCTTCTTTTATGAACAACAGAACAGTAAGGGCAGTCAGCCGACACTCCTATTGCCAGATGTCACTGTGAGTACTTGCAGACTTCATTTCATCCTTATCACCACTCTGTGTCTTGGAACCATTATTACCTTCACTTTACATATGAGGAAAATAAGGTGTGAATTGGGACAGCCTGGCAGGAAGACTTCAAAACCTCCTGGACCACAGGGGTCTGTCTTTTCTTTGGGAGCCACAGAGTGAGACAGGACAATGTCTGTCTCTACTGTCTGTCATGGTTCCCACTGTCATTCAGCAGGCACTACCTAGGCCATCCTGGAAGCAACCATCTTCCCAAGAGCAGCCTAGAAAGCAGGGGACATTATCTGCTTTGCTTTGTTGAGTTCCCAGGCCTGGATCAGGTGCCTTGCAGGTGGCAGCCAATACTGAATAGAGGAACCATGGCTGAATGCCACAACTTCTCCTCCCTTTTCAGGAAAATTGTAGTATTGCCAGGCCTTATCACCACTGCCAGCCTAAGCTGGAGTCCAGCCACAATCATAAACTACAGTTCTAGGCAGGCATTGGTTACTCATGTCTTTAATCCTAGCTACTCAGGAAGCTGAGATCTGAGGATTATGGTTCAAAGCCAGCCAGGCAGAATAGTCCTTGAGACTCTAATCTCCAGTTAACTACCAGAAAACCAGAAGTGCACTGTGGCTCAAAGTGATAGAGCACTGGCCTTGAGAAGAAAAAACTCAGGGACAGTACTCAGGCCCTAAGTTGAAACCACACACACACACACACACAGAATCCTAGTCAAGTTTTACAGGTGCCATGTCCCCTAATCCTGATGACAGACAATTGACATTTTCATCTCCATTCTTTCTTTTCCATTGTTTCTTTTCTCTTTTTTGGTGGCATTTGGATTTGAACTCAGAGCCTCACACTAGGTAGATGTTCTACTGCTAAGTCACACCTCTAGCCTAGTTTTCTTTGCCACACAACTAGTGATAGAGCCAGGATTCCAACCATATCAGTTTGAGCCAGACCCCTACTCCTGTCTACTACACCCCAATAGAAGATCTTGGAATTTAAGGTGCAGAGGGTAAAGTTTGCAAATCCAGTGTGCCACAGAAGGGTAAAGGGACCCCACAGAAGGTAAAGTTCATGTGATCTGATCCTCTCTTATTGAACATGGGGAATAGGGAACCCAAGATGGGGGTACTGGCCTAGGCTGTGCCCCCATTGGGGACAGCTTTCAGTGGCCCTGAGGATCCCTGGGAGGCCCCAGAGTCTGCTAGAACAGAGGCTATGCAGAGAACTCTGGGTAAAGGAGCCCAGGACAGGATGTTCTAGTCACGTCCTCTGCCTGCCCTATGCTGAGCTGTGGTCCTTGCCAGAGCTGATTCAGCATCTTGACTTCCCTTTCCTCAAATACTGGAGTGATCCAGATGTCCTTTCTCCAGCTGTGGTACACTGAATAGTGGCCACTATGATCCACCTCCTGATCTCCTGGACCAGTGAACAGCTTTTCTTAAGTAGCAAGAGAATCTCAAGTTGAAGTGATGGTCTTGGATGATCCTGGTGGGCCCAAACTTATCAGAAAGTTCCTCATGAGAGGGAGGCTAAGCCAGGCGAAGGTGGCTCATGCCTGTAATCCTAGCTACTCAGGAAACTGAGATCTGAGTCTCGAGATTCAAAGCCAGCCCAGGCAGGAAAGTCTAGGAAAATCTCTTATCTCCAATTAACCACCAGAAAACCAGCTAGAAAAGGTGATAGAAGGACAGGAATTTTCCCTGGAACTACAGACATTGCTAGTCCCGGTAACACTAGAGGACTTTTGACCTCTAGAATGCCTAGAGAATAAACCTGTACTGTTTTAAACCACAGTGGCTATAGTCCTTTGCTATTGGCAGCCAAAAGAAATGAATACACCCCTGTGCAGATGCCTATATCAGCCCTGACAGTCTCCATTTTGAAAAGCTAGAGAGGGCAGCCAGGCCCTAGGGGACATTGGGGGTATGTGGGGGGAGGGGGTGTTCTTATGTCCCAGCATGATGCCTGGTCCTCCTCCACCACGGAAGCTTCTCTGGATTGATAGCTAACTTCCCTCTTTGTTCCCACACAGCTGGATAGATACAAAGATGGGCAGGATAGGCCTCCCCCCTTGATAGGACATGCACGTTGGCCTGGGGTCCTAATGGAGGAAGTCTGTATGGGACACAGGGAAAGGAACCAGAAGCAGCAGGCAGCATGTTAGGAAAGTGCTTTAGAGTCAATTCTCCATCACAGGGCACAGAAGACAAATGGGTTACAGGGATTGGCAAGAAGCCTTGTCTAACCAAGGCCCTCAGATGGCCCTGGCTGAGCCACACCCAGCCCCTCATCTGGTCCTCAATAGCCAGGAAGTGGGGTTTGATCCAAGGTGACAGGAATGCCCACATCTGTTAAGATGTACACATTCACAGCTAGTTTAAAAATAGCCACCAAAAATTCCAAAACAGAGCTGGGTGCCAGTGGCTCATGCCTGTAATATCCTAGCTGAGGATGGCGGTTCGAAGCCAGACCAGGCAGGAAAGTCTGTGAGACTGAGTTCCAATTAACTACCAGAAAACAAGAAGTGGCACTGTGGCTCTAACTGGTAGAGTACTAGCTTTGAGCAAAAGAGCTAAGGGACAGCGCCCAGGCACTGAGTTCAAGCCCCTGTTCTGAAATAAATAAAATTTTCAGAACAGGCAACATAGGGGGAAAGTCAGGGATAACGCCTAAGATCTTGATCTAAATGACAGGAAAGATGGAGTTGCTTCCTGCCCGTGGGAGGCTGCTCAGCAGAGCCCGTGGTCCAGTCCAACTTGAAGTGTGGGAGAGAGGGCTTTGGTTGGAAACAATGTGCAAAGATTTAGAAATCAACCAGAGGTTTCTCCCCTGTTCTAGAAGCCCTGTTTCCTGCTGCCTGAGGTTACAGCTGCCCTTTCCCCCATCACCGCAGAGCGGCTGAGGAAGCCTCTGGTGACTCAGCACAATCTGCCTTCCTCCCAACCGTGACACAGCAGAAATGCAGCCTCCAGGGCGGGGTGGAAAAGCCACTCAGCATTCCAAAGGCTTGGTCTGCAGTGGGGCGGTGCGGGGGAACAAAGTCCAGAAGAACAAAGTCAGGGAGAGTGGAAGGGATCGGGGAAGGGGGTCTTTCGCCCCAGCTGGAGGGCAGCAAGAAGAAAGGGGGTCACCTGGGGACGTTCCATAGGGTGTCCTAACTATGCCATG